TTCTCCCCATATATCACTATAACCATCATGCTCATCAACTTTGGCATATGTTCTCTAGATTCAATTTGGAACTTCCTTCCTTCATCAATCATTTCTTGTTGGGTCTTTACGAATTGTTCTTGGATTCTCTTGATCTTACTAACACACGCTAATATCTCGTTCGTAACTTTCAATCTTTCTATAGATACGCTCCGGGTAACTTCAATTTGCTTTCAGAACTTCTGTCACACAGACATTTTGTTAATGTTAATATTTTATTAATGAATATGAAATACATGACTATGGATAAATAAAAATGTGATGTAGATATTGAGTTGCATTGCGAAAAGTAAAAATGTGTATGCAAAATGCAGGGTGTTGATCCTAGAAGGACTCCTTAGAATAACTTTTTATATTAGAAATGAAGTTCAATTACGAAGTTGAAACATATCACAAATAGATCTATACTACCTCTCATAATTGCTACATATGTGCCAGCAGTTTCATAATCATTTGGTCTTCTTTAGTTTTAGGCTCCAGTCCTCAAATTACAGAAGTAGCTTCATGAGACAAGTTGACCAAATATTGAGCTATTCCTTGAGCATGCTCTAGGTAACTAGTGATGAGGTCATCTCTTTTTTTAACTCTTGACTGAACCTGCTCCCAACGATAACGTCACTATATAACCCCCCATAAAGAACTATCGAAAGCTCATTTTCTCGTCTTTGAAAATCTTGAACCATAGCCTCAAGTTCCTTCAATCGCTTCTTCAGACTTTCAACCTCTCCATGGCTCGAGCTACCTCCCGACTTCAGTATCGTCGTAAACAACCTCTAAACTCAAGATCTTTCCTTTCAGCTTCTCATTTTAGGCTTGATTCTCTTACAATCGTTGCTCTAAAGAATTCTTTTCTTTAGATAGAATCTTAACTTGATGCCTACTTTGCTTGAACTCTTCTTCATTCTCTCCAGATTCTCTCTTTAGGCTTGCCAGTTCTTGTCTCCATTCAGCAGGTGATTTACTTGAACTGCAAGTTATCTGGGCTTTCCCAATTCGTTGGTAAGATAATTGAAGATCATTAAATTCTAGTCGAAGTTGCTTCTCCATTTTTTCAATTTGATCAGCTTGACCTTTCTGAATGCCAATCTCTAACTCTTTTTTATATACTCTAACTTTTGCAGGGTCTCTCTCCATTGTTTTCTTTCCGCCTTGAAGTCGTGCTTAGCTAGCTCTAACAGAGATGGTAACACTCTCAGATGTTCTTCCATAGGCTGAATATTTTCAGGATTAACCATCGGGATATTATCATTTACTCGATTACTTCTCCATTGTTCGTACTCCTGAGATAACTTGAGATCAAAGGTGAAGAGATTCACACGAAGAGTCTGTTTCCAAGCCTCAATAACCCTTTGACTTTACTCTTGTATTGTTCTCCTTTGAATAGAAACTCCAACCCTGACAGATCCCATGTTGCAGGAATGAATTGCCTTGACCCATACTGCCTAGAAACTAGCAGAGGTGCATACTCTATAGAACCCCAAATACCTTGTAAAGGAACTCAGTCTCGCTCTCCACGTCTGTATAATATATCTAAGGAAATATTCCACGAAGCTCGCCACAATATATCACTATCCCTGATATCATTGAAGATAACCATCCATTTCTCTTTGGTAAAACTCTCAGGCCATTCTTTGGAAAAGAAATCCTTTAAAGGATAAAACTCGTCCAGAAACACTCGTCCTGGTGCTCTTTCAACATGCTTGAAATAACTAAGAATCCATACTAGCAATAGGGGCGCACATCCTATAAAGCGTTCTTCTTCTTCGCATCTACAATAACTCAAAGAACGAAACGTCTTGGATAGAATAACTGTAACAGGATCCTCATGCTTGTCTAATCTCTCAAACAAGTCTACAACAGATACGTCTACATACCCAGTACCTTTAAAAAAAATAACAAGCCCATAAATCCCAAGAACAAATAAATCAAGCTTCTTCCTCTTGTTAGGATGATGATTAATTATTTCCTTCAAAGCAGTCCAAGAGATGCACTCGTTGTCTCCTTTCCTTTTAATGTTTCTAACAACCCATTCTACTTATAAAACAACTACTTATTGACTGTTTCCCATCTTCCCCAAATTTCTTTTAGCTTGCTCAAATTGGTCTGACGTACATTGATATGGGTGTAGCAAAACAAACCTGACACGTATCCTGGCCTCAAACTATCTTCATTAGTCAATTGGGACTGCTCAAACCATCTCAGAACATCTGCATTATCTTCAACCTCTTTTTGAACCTTTCTTTCCATATTACTAGCCTTCTATATGGACATCGATCCCAAATCAACACCATGAAATTGATAGTACAATGCAAAAATAAAATAAAGAGCAAACAAAAGAAAATCAGCAATTAATCAAGGATAATAATTTGTTAATGAATCCTACCCAAACATGCTTTATCAAATCCTACCTAAACATGATATCTACCCCTACGCTTTGTTTGAACATAAAACTCCTAACCACATGATATCTAATTCGCATGCTTATTTAAGAAAAGTAAACCTAACCGCGTGATCTCTAGTTCGCATATATTTAATCGAAAAGCAAAATTAAATGACTCAAAAAGCTTTTGGGACTCATAAGGTTCGGGTTAGGCTCTACCTAAGTTCAGGTTAGGCTCTACCTAGGTTCAGGTTCTGGGTTCACTATATGCTGGGTTCGACTCTAAAGTAATAGGTTCTCAAATTGTCCTTGTCGATGCCCCCTTGGGCTACCACGCCCTCAATCCTGGCCCATCACAGGCTTTTGAGATCGAGTTCAATTCAAGGGAACATACCTCTTTATGTCCATGCAGAGGTGAATACCATTACAAGGACCATAAGGCGTGAGCTCCAGGAGCAATCCACTATCCCACGCGGTGGTGAAAAACCACACGAGGGAGTAGGTTCTCACTCCTATTTAATTTGGACGGAGAGATGTTTTAGCTCATGTCATGATAATGCAAAAGTGCAGTGTGTGAGGAAAAGCAAAAAAAATAATACATAGCACACAAACTCTTTCCTCAAACCCAAAAAACACACGAATAATCTGAAAACATTAACAAAAAGTCAATACAACTATTTAGTAGTTAATCAAATTATAAATCAAAATGAAAACAAAACTAATTTAAAACCAAACAAGGGATCAAAGACCAAATTAAAACGAACTTGTAACTTTCATTTGCAAAGACAATTAACTAATTGAATATCGGTCTGACTCTCTAAAAAAGGTCCCCATCAGAGTCGCCAAGCTATCGAAATGATTTTTTCTTAAGTGAGATTTTAAAAATCACACTATTTTTAATTATCTCTTTATGATTAATTTTTTAATTAAAAATATTGTGCTTAAAAAAATTTCCCGGTTCAAAAAATTTGGGATTCTCCTTATGATATAAAAACATAAGGTTCGAGGAGTCGCCATCAAGCTTTGATTAGGGTGTGATTGGGCACCCAAAAACATTTTGTCATTTTAAATAAAAATTAATTTTAATTAAAACAACAAATTGAGGTCTGCATTACCAAAATTCGAGTTCGGGAGTCGGTTACGCGTGGGTAAGGATTAGCACCTCCACAGCACCCTAAATCGATACCTAGTCAATTAATTAATGTCTTTGCAATGAAATTTACAAATTCAAATTTAATTTAGTTTATGATCCCATAAAACAACGAATTGTGAATTTTAAAATGAAACCTGATAATATTTAATTATTTCCTATCGAGAAGAAACATACCCCTCATAACTTGAGGCAATCAATTCTTACTCCAATTGAAATAAAGAAATATTATAATTTCTTTATAATATTCAAATGCACCCAAAACAAATTAAATTAAAATTGCCAAGCCTTTTTAGAAAGATAAAGAATATTCGATTATTTAAAAATATCGAGATCGGATCTTAGATAAGTTCTAACAATCTTTTCTCAAAAAATTTAATCGACCATTTCTTCTTCTTTCATTTAGAGTTTAGGGTTTAGGGTTTATTAGAGATTAGGGTTTTTTAGGTTTCACTATTGGGATACACTTTCAATTTAAAATAGTCAAAAGCTTCTCTCTAATAAGTTAAGACAAACCCCTTAAACAATTTTAAATTAAACGGGTATTACCCTTAATCCGATTATGTATTTATAAGTCAAATTATGCGTATGAGGTTAACATGCAAATTACAACACTACTAATTAATAAAATGATACAAGTAATCAAAAAAATGTAAATGTAGAAAAATAATATTAAATTTATTAAATATATTAAAAACCAATAAAATTTACAGTTCAATTAAAAAATATATGATCTAATTACTTAAAAAAATGCTAATATCCATGAGGTTATTTTATTTTAAAAAATTTAAATGAAATCAAAATTTAAAACCATTAATCAATATATATATATATATATATATATATATATATATATACATATGTAACAAATTAATTAATATTAAGTATTAAAAATTATGCTTAATATAAATATAATTCAATAATACCTATATGGAACCTATTTAATCGAATACAAACTTTGTACCCTAATACAACTATATGAAGATTTTCATGAAAATATAAAAACATAATGACTAAAAATAAATGGGTAAATAACTTTAAGATTAAATCATAAATTGAACAGAAAAACAGTCATAAAACACAAACAACACATTTCATGTACTAAAATGAAAATAAACCCATAACTGAATGTAGGACTAAACTGTAACCTTCAAAAGAAACATATCAAATGTATAAAAAAAAATCAAAACAACTAAATTCCAAGATTAAAATCAAATGCGTTTACAATATAGAGATAAAATTAAATACATAAAAGCTTCGATCGAAGGGCTAAAACATAACAAGTTAAATCTAATAGACCTCCAGTGTAATTAACCCATCTATCCTAAAACACGGGTTGTCCTCCCTACTCCAAAGTGTTACCATTTTGGCATTGTCCAAAACGACGCTATCTTGGTCACTGCATATATGTGACAATTAGGGTAAAATATTTACTCTAAATCACTTTTTACCAACCTCAAAACCACTCTCTCTGCTTTCTCTCAAACCACCCCTTCTTATCTCCTTCTTTTCCCCCTTTGATCAAAGGCCAACGCCACGGCCACCGCCCCACGCAGGCTCTGACGAAGAGCCCAAAAGGCCCGATGACAATCCCTAACCTTAGATCTTTCTCCTCTTACCCAAAAACCTTAGACCTAAGCCTTCCAAAACAAAAAACCCACTCATTTTCTATTTGAAACCAGACAACAAACCTTAAACCTCCTTATCACCACAATTCTCCAGCTCCAACGAAGAGTCGAGAAATCTAACCCAAAACCTAAAAATGAAACCCTCACCTTAGACCTAGGCTTTACAGAAAAAACCCCCTTTTTGAAATTAAAAGAGATTAAATAACAAATGCTAAGAGACTTGATGGATTACCCTTGGCGGCTCAACGGATTCTGGGCACTTGGCACTGGTGACAGAACCCTTCGGGTAGGAAAGGTATATCCTTTTCTTTTTTCACTCTTCTTTTGGGTTTCTGCACAGTCATAAAAAAAAAAGAAATCTCTTTGTTTTTCTTTCCTTTTTTTTCTCTTTTGTTTTCTATCTGGGGTTTTTCGTTTTTGGTTGCTAATGGTTTCTAGGTTTTTTTTGTGTTTGATTTCTCTCTAGTTTTTCATAGCTTGCTGATAGGGTTTTTGGTTGCTAAATATATCCCCTTTGCTGATGATTTTCTCACTCTTTTTGGTTGTTAATTACCTCTGTCCTTTCTGTTAATCTTTTCATTTTCATCTGCCTTGCTGGAGATTTCTACGTTGCCAGGGAATCTGTTTTTTTTCCTTATTTGTTTGTTGCAGATACAAAGGAAACCGTTTAGGACAAACGAGGACATTTGGCCTTTTCGGGTGGAACTTGGTCGTTGGATCGCTGACTAGATCCATAGGTTACCATAACGCGGCAGCAGCAGAACGTGATGTTAGGGTTAACAGGCCCTAACCCCAAACCTATCCAGCCATTGATCTCACGATAGATCCTATGGTGCACATTGAACGACGGTGAGAACTCCATCAGAGAACCCTACTGGGTTTAGGGTTCTCACAAGTGGCATTGGGCTTCCATTCAATTCGGGTTTGGTAACTGGGTTGTTAATGTGTGCTTTTGGGCTCCTAACAACTGGGTATGGGTTGGGGTAATTTGTAACTGATGTAGACATTTAACAGAGAAGAAAGAAAATTAATAAAATTTAATGCATTTTAAATTAACGTTATACATATATATATATATATATTATGTTATTTAATTACTTGTTTATACGTATATATAGTATGTATATAAGCATGATTATATATAATATATAGCCACACATGCAATTAATAATAATATAAACCCAAACAAAATTCGAAAAAAACCTCGGACAAAACGAGCATCTACAAGGTAACGATTTAAATTTTATGTAACACCCTTGAATCGATACGGGTGACCCAATCCGATTCGAGGTGTCACATTAGTGCCACCAAGAGATCCATCGTAAAAATCACAGAAAATTAAAATTTTTGTTAAAATATGTAAAATAATAAAATAATTTATAAACACAAAAGTAAAATTTAACAATATTTAGAAATAAAACAGATTCCAGACTTGGATATACAAACAAAATACAAGTTATATACCCCCTAATCACATGCATCGTACTCCGCAAGCAACACCAGTGGAACTCCCTTACTGATGTCGATAGTTGCACTAGTTCAATTCTTTTAACCTGAAATAGTAACAGAGTTAGCTTTGGAAACTCAGTAATACAGTACTATCAAATGATACTGAAGGACATGCAGATAATAGGTAAGTATAATTTTCCTTATTGATTCAGACATCTACATATTTTTGTTAGGAGCGAAAGTCTCACTGATATTTCAGGTAGTAAAAGACAAGAAGCTTTCAGTTCAGAGTAAACGTTCAAAGGACTAGGTTCAGGAGATCAGAATAGGGTGTCTAGTGTGTTCCCACAAAACCAGTGAAAATGTACATATCTTTTTAAAACAGTAACAATTTAAAACTTATTTTTAAAAACCATAGTAAGACCCTCTAACCGAACGCCAATATGTAGTTCCCCAGAACTGCTTCCATAAGGGCTTATCCTAAGCCCAAAAGGGCGTAGGAGCCAACCTAAGGGAACACATTGGATCGATAAGGTCTTACCCTAGCAAAAGCGTAGGTGCCCACCTGAGGGGAGTGCCCTTAGGTCCATAAGGAATTACCAGTCGATGCTGAACCTATATAAGGAATTACCAACATCGACTGAACTTACCAGTGTCTTCAGTCATACCAGAGTCCCAAAGTACCCCGTATAAAATAATTTCAGTCAATAAATAGAGATATTAGTAATCTGAGTAGAGATAAGAGATCAGAACAGAAATCAGAGTTCAGAGAAAAAATCATAGGTCAGACTGTATTCCATATAACATAGTCATACTTTTAAAATCAGAGAAAACATCCATGATGATCAGGGAACACACTAGAGATTTCATATATTATTCGGAGGTACTTGATAATCTTATCGGAAAGGGAAACACGGATCTTCAGTATACCAATATAATGTCAAAAATTAGAATCACTATCGAAAGAGTTCATAAGCTGACGGAATCATCAGTTATTTAAAACGTGATTTATCAGAATTATATAGTATTCGGATATTTTTTGGAGGCACTATGAAATCGGAAAAGTATTCAAAATCATTTGTATCAGATTTACTTGTGTTTTCAAATATGAAATGATTGATTCCATTATCCAAGAAATCAAAGGCAATTTAGGCATTAGGTTCTTGGAGAATTCTTAGTGAATTGATCTAATAAGGGAAAAATTAAGATTTAGGGCATTAAGATTTGTGTCGATCTATTAGAATATCGAGTTACCTCGAATTAAACAACTCCCAACACTGATGTCTGTCAACCGGTCAAATCGTTGCACTTCCAGGGTATTCACTTTTCAATAGATACAACTCTTGTCAAATTGATCATCTTCAAAATCATCGTTGAATGGATCTTTATTTTATTTCGGTACTGCAACGATATCAGGAAATATCGACGTGCTTGATTCTTGGTTCAACTACCCTTATGGATAGTACAACATATAGGTTCATCAGCGTTTCTAGACTTATCTAACTCATTCCCTTAATTCTAGGTCTTTGAGGGTACTTAGGCCATTTATTAGTTAAGTCTATCCTGGTTACTTCAGAGTTTTTGGAGTAATTATGTCATTTCCATAAATTTGAATACATACAATACTTCCATTCAATTCAACTTGATCATAAAATATAGTTATTTTGGTAATCGAGGTTGATTTATTCATTTCAGAGCTTGGGGTACTTAGTTATTTTAGTGCTTAGTCGTTCTTTGGGTCCTTTTACACTTCAGGGGCATTCCAATATAGATCGGGAATTTAAATCGATGATTCCAAGGTTTAAGTGGATCAAGATATGAATTCTCAGGTAGTCTCCATTATCATAGCCATCCATTGAGCTTTTTACACTTTAAGCGTATCATCATCATTTCACTCAATTCTGCCAGTGGCATTACTTTCGATAAATTAGGCTTGAAAGTATTCTAGTTCCTTTAGCGTTCAGATTCCTTTATCCATTTGATCACTGGAGGTTATTTTCAACACTAGGGGAAGTCTTGGTCCTTTTACAGTACAAGGGCATTTTTGAAAATTTATCCATAGTTCTAAGATTGATTGATTTACTGATTAAATCATTGAACTGAGATTTCTTTCCGATCAGTCTATCAATTTCTTTTTTGAGCCTTCAAAGTCTTATACGGTGTTCCGTCTTTATTCCAATTTCCATCTGAGTCCAATGATAGTTAACTACACCTAATGGACCAATCATTTTCATTCATGCATTTACCATTTATCAATGGGTTCCGAAAAGCATACAAAAGGTAGTAGAGTATTACCTTGGTTTTTGTGCCATATTGATCAACCATTTAAACTCCATTCGATCGCCCTTGAAATTGAATTCAACATCCAATAATTCCTCGGATACATAGCAAATGAATTTACGTCCGAAATTGAACTTAAATGAGAAACCAGCTTGAATATGAAGATAAAACACTGAAAAATGGCTTACCCGGTGCGAATTTGGAAAAACGGACTTTAGATTTGGACTTAGGACGCCGAAAAATATAAAATAGGACTTTTCGGAAATTTAACTTTTTTGGTCAAAATCAATGGTCAACGGTCAAAGTCAACAGGATGACTCAGACGAATTAACTCGGACGAGTTAACTCAGTCGGGGTTGACTCGGTTGGGTCAAACAGACCCGGTTCGACTAGGTTAGTCGATTCGGGCAGACTAGAAGAAACCATAACTGGGGACGAACCCCACGCGCGTTGCACGCGCTGCCACGTGTCGGTCAGGGCGGTCGATCGATTCTTCCCTGATCATCCACTTGCCGAAAACAACACAAAAATCAATCCAAAACCAGCTAAACCATAAAGAAAAATTAAACAAAATTGACCGAAAGCTTACTCAGGCGGTTGTCGGCGAAGGCAATAAGACGATGGACGATAAACCCGACTAGGTTTTGTTCCCCTATCGACGGCGCTACTATTGGGGGTGGCGGTGTCGAACACCATCAGCTTATTGAAAACAAATCTCAAAAACAAATTTTCGGTGGCATACACATCCGACGAGCCTACAAACGAACCTCGACAACAACTAGCACGGCGAAACGATGAACGACTAGACTGATTTTGATCTTGAGGTCACGACGGTGCTGATGGTGTTAACGGTGCATGACACGGTGGTCAGATGAATCAGATGACGGTGGGTGACGACTGTGTAAAAAAATTGGTTTCTTCAATTTTGGGTTTATGTTTCTAACTGGAGAAGACGATTAGGGTGTTTATTTTTCACTGCCCATTAAAATGGGATAATTCGGGTTCAAGTCCTTAAATTTCCCACAAGGTCCAAAATCGTATCGCAAACTTTTAAGAATTTACAATTTGGTCCAAAACTAGCCCCTATATTGGGGTGTGACAGAGAGAGACTTGACCTTGGAGTTCCGACTTAGAGAAGTACGATCATAATCTAGGGGCATGTACAGACCAGACATTTTTTTATTTTCGATCGGCCGGTCTATCTAGAAAAATTAACTCAACCTAAGCTCTAATACCACTAATGTGACGCCTGGGATCGGATTGGGTCACCCGCATCGGTCCAAGAGTGTTACACTTTAGGTGCAAAATGTTTCGAAAAAGACTTTAGAGGGCAACTCGGTACAAACTATATAGTTTAGGGAGCAAATATGCATTTAAGTCACTTTATAATTATCTTTCTAATAACACAATCTTTAATATTCAAATATCTGATTCCAAGTGTAATAATGTTTTTTAATCCAATTTTTCTAAGGTTAAAACCCAAGAAAACTTTACTGATAACAGTTTAACATCCGTAAATCCTGATGTAAACTGTAAATCCCAAGTCCTATAAACTATGCCACAACTCATTCCCAAGCACCATTTAACTTGCTTGCTTTCATTGTTGTTGTTGGCAAAAAATGAAAGATGAAGAGGGTTTCCTTTGTTGCAATTTGTGCGGTGGCGGTGCTGTTTTGGTGCTGTTTTGGGGTGCTGTTTTGGGGCGCGGCAGAGGCAGTGACTTGTAATCCCCAAGAGTTTAAGTGACTTGTATTGTTTTGGTGCTGTTTTGGAGCAGGAGCCATGCCTTTGTGGGTACATCAAGAACCCAGCAAACCATACGTCGACAGTCCCAACGCTAAAAGAGTTGCTTCTGATTGCAAAGTCCCATGGCCTCAGTGCTAAATGCACTCTCTACAAGACTGCAAATAAAGCTTGTACTCTTCTGAATAAAACAATAATATAATATATTACAGTTTTGAAATACACTAATTAAGTTTTCATTTAGGTTCGATGCTAACTGTATAGTGGTTAAGTCTCTTGCATATATTTTTCTTTTTCAACTCACATTCAGTTGGCCATTGAATTTTTCTTTATTTATATGACCTTAAATTAAAGTATTTATCATTATATATTTTACTCTCTTTTTTCTAACAACGTTTTTGAAAATAAACTAACATGTACTACCTTTCAAAACATATCATATTAATCAGGTTGGTTCAAGTGGTAAGAGGCTTAATGTCGTTTTAACAGGTTTTGAGTTTTAATTCTTGTGTATACAGAAAATATCCAATATAAGACTCGCACACCAAACCTATGTGTGCGACCTGATTATCTGTCAAACTATTTATCAACCA